TTTTCCTTTAGGTATTCTCTTTTTTCTTTTTTTTTTTCCTTTTTGGTTTTTTTCTTTCTCCTTCTGTTCACTTTGTCTACGTCCTCTTGGTCTACCACGTTTGCGAGGCTGGCGAGGAGGATGCTCGCCTCGTCGAGATCGTCCTTTGGTTTTTCCACATGGCCTTCCCCTTCCGCTTCTCCTTTGGCTGAATTTTCGGCAGCTTCCCCCTCAGGTTGGTCTCCCCCTTCTGTGCTACCCATTTATTGAGAGCGTTTCTTCTTTTTCTTTTTTTTGGTGCGACTCCCCCCTTTTGGGATAGCTTCTACCTTAGGGTCCTTCCGCTGGGTGGTAGGGTACCCCGTCGTTTCTCCCTCCGTAGGTCAACGCGATTTCCCCTATTACTGTAACTACCCCTCACGCTCTCCTAAAATGACATCTGGCTAACTCCTCAGTGAAGACAGGCAGCCATGGATTCTCACAGCCGTCAACGGAGCTACTAAGAGGGTAACTAACAGGGAATTCTACAAAACGATATAGTTGAAATGACCCAACGTAGAAAAAAAAAAAAAAAAAGAAATACAAAACGAGCGCAGATAACAGAAAGAGTGCCCTTTGCCGAGCATTTCAAATTGTATTCTTTTGCCCCGTGTTCAGGTTCCCCCTCTGGCCAATTCCCAGCTTTTTCCCCAGACCCTCAGCGGGAAGGGGAGATACAGCATGGGAAGAGGTACCACCTGAGGGGAGCTGCATATTGCACTGTATATAAACACGCCAGGCGAATAAGGAATTACGGGCGGGACTACTCCTCTTTGGGGCATTGCAATATAGCGAGGTATATAATGACCCACATTAAGGTGACTCATCCAGGGGGGGGTGATAAAAAAAAAGAAAAAAAAAACGACTCTACGAAATGTGCGCCGTCTCACCTATGTTAAGTGGGGACACATTTAAGTGAGTCTCCCCCGCTGCAAAGGACCTGCAGAGGTGACTCTTCAAATGCTGCTCAGGCACTACGCATCGAACGGGAAGCGGCATGTGCAGTTGCCGCCACCACGGAGGAGAAACTAGAACGTACAGCCCTGCGTGCAGGGATTCACAACACTTGCCAGCCCCCTGGTGAGACCGGCGATGCGCTGTCCCCGTTTTAAAAATTTTCCGCTCCGGTGATCTGTAATTTCTGTGCTGCTCATGTGCCGAAGGTCCGCTTCAAGCAGGGAAAAAAAAGAAAAAAAAAGAAAAAAAAGCAAAGTACAGGTTACTTACCATAATGCAACATAACATAACATAGCACAACACAGCGCAGCACTTCGAAGCGGGAGGGCGGACAGACGGACGCAGCGTCACCGACCTAATCTTTATACCTGCCTTTGTTTTTTTTTTCCCCCCAAAATATAAGGCCGCGTGGATGGAAGCGAAGCCAATCCGTTAAGCAGCTTACGAAACGGAAAGGGCGGGAAGAGGAACCCTAAGAAGGGCAAACCAAGCGCAGTTAGGCCCGGTAGGCACACACGTAGGTAAGCCTATTTCTCCATTGTACTGACCCCCTCCCCGTGCGCGACATGCCTATAAAATGGGCCTCTCATTTGTTGAAGGCATTTTAGAGCGCCACAGAGGGGGAGCTCGCTTTCCTCGCCGAAAAGTGCAAAACCCATTTGTGTTGCATCGTGCTGTAGTGCCCTTTTCCCCTGAGCACATGTGCACGCACGTAGGATTGAAGCCGCATCGCCAAGCCACTACAGGTTACATCCCAAAATGCTGAGGAACATGGGCCCAAAAACGCTGCTGCTTGCGAACGTCGCATCAGCATGCATTATCCTGTACGCCCTGAGGAAGTATAACCCCGAGACGACGAATGGAATTTTACACCAAATTGAGGGGGTAGCCAAATGGCTACTTAAGAAACCGCAGGTTCTACTCCATAAATGGCTAGGAGAGTGGAAAAAAAAAAAATTACGACTGCCCGTAGTGAACAAAGACATAACCATCCATTTAAGTGATGACGATTTGGAGAAAAAATTCATTCAGGCGTGCAACGCAGTGAAGATGCACAGAAGTCAGTTGAAATTTGATCAGTGGATCTACTTGTATGGCTTGTACAAGCAGATAGTCGCTGGAGACATGAACCCAGAAGCGGGAGATTCAGACAAGCCACTTAACGCAGCGTGCAACGGGGACAAAGGAACAGCCAAGAGGAACAAAAGGGAAGAAAACAGCTACCTAATGGATGCCAAATTGAGCGCATGGAAACATTGCCAGGGAGTGAGTAGAAAGGTGTGCAAATTTCTGTACGTGCAATTTGTCGAGAAGGCTCTTCCCCAGGCGATAAAAGGGGAGAGCTTCAATGTGACATTAGACTTTAAGAAGACGATAAGCAAAATGAAGCCGCTGGCGGAGGTGCTCACAGGAGTTCTAGAGGGGATCGGTGAGGGCAACTCCCCCACTGGCAAGGACAACACCGATCGTACCAGCAACTTGAGTGACCTCCTCTGCAAAAACGTAGTACAGGCAAATCTGCAATACATAAAGAGTGCACTGAAAAGCAACCCCTACTTAATAAACAAGAGAAATTCAGATGGACTGTGCGCCCTGCATTATGCATGTGATAGGGGGTACCTAGACATCGTGAAGCTCTTAATCGAGTTGGGCGCGGACATCAACGCAGACGATTCCTCTGGAGACACTGCCCTTCACATTGCCGCGTATTCAGGAAAGAAGGATATTATTGACTATTTAACCAGCGCGGGTGCTGACATAAATAGGAAGAACTCCGAGGGGTTGACGTTCAATTCGATACTTAGTCAGCAGGCGCAATTGTATTAGCGCGCCGAGGAGACGCGCACATGCAGGAGAATACGCCGACATGCACATGTGAGATTATCCACATGTTGCCATATGCACATATCAGTTCGTCCCTTTTTCTCCATATCCCACGTGTGCCGATAAAAAACTTCCTGCAGAGCCCAAACTATTTGTAGTAGACGTGCAGGTCGTCCACTCCCCAGGAGGTGGCGCAGGCATCGTCTGTTTTTTTTAAAGTGCTTCCAATCATTATGCTAACCGTGTCTGTCGCGTAAAGGGAAAGGGGGGACAGCGTCGGCACGTCAGGAGATGCAGAGTTGTATTAGTGTGTCCGCTTCGGGGACGCGTACGGTGCCTCAAGGGGCGGGGCATCGCATCTCCAGTGAATAACCCACCTGAGGAGTGCTCGAATTCGACGTCCACAGGCACCTGCAGTTGTTTTAAAGGGGGAATTAGCAAGGTAAGCATGTATGCGGGGAAGCTGCTATTCGGGTAAGCAATATGACTGCTTGGCAAAGCATTAGTATGCTCCTTTTCCGCCTTGTGCACAATTTCAACCACGACAGGCGCGTATACTCTCCGCTCCCCGCTAGCCGTTCCAAGTTTGCACTAACTGATAACCGATCGGGAGTCTCCTTCCCGCAAAGGTTTATTCCGTCACCAGCACCCTGCGGAGGGAAGTATGCAAAAAGGAAAAAAAAAAAGGAAAAAAAAAAAAGGAAAAAAAATTAACCTTTGGAATAGCACACACAGAAGGGGGGGAGGAGAAGCATCAGACAGTTACCACTTATTGGGTTTCTTTTTTTTTCTTTTCTTTTTGGAGAGTAACGGAAACAGGGAAGATCTAAGTTGCCATCCTAGACTGATGTTACCTTTTCCACGGAGTTCGATTTGTATGATTCTGCATGAGTGTGGGAGGAAAAAGTTTAACATTTAAAGTTCGAGGTTACGTCATACCAGTTCTGCTCTTCGTGGGGGATGACAAAAATGGAGGAAACTGGTTGTCCGCCCCTCCGCATGCTTACCCGCCCAGATAGTCTTCCTATCAGCTTGAAGAAACAACGAATCGCCTTTCCAGGCATCGAAGAAGTGAACCCTTAATTTAATTTTCAGTGCGCTGTGCTTTGGTATATCTCTAACAACGGTGTAGGCCTCCGTGGCACCGAATATGCTGCAGGGGAGGGAGGAATAGGTGTGGCACGGCAATTTTGTTTGAGTCCTCTGCGTACACTTCTCTGCACCATTTTGTGCGTTTGCTTCGGAGGCGGTTCTTCTGTCCTTTTGTCCCCCTACCAGGGTCCGCCCAGAAACATGTCGGGGGAATTCCCGCATGTGCTGATGTCCTTTTGTATAGGGGCAAGTTTAGTGGGGCATGCAATTGTGGGATGATCATCGGGGGGAGGGAAGTTCAAATGAGTCGGTAAAAACGGTTTCACTGTAAATGAGATAACGCCATGGTATGCTGCTCTACATGGCAGAGTTGTGTGTGTGTTTTTTTTTTTTTTTTTTTTTTTTTTTTTTTTTTTTTCCTCTTTATGTCGATTTGCCCAAGCAGTACCGAGGGGATCCAAGCACTCTCCTTCCGGTCGAAGGTGTCCAGGTGGTGTAAAGTCCACTGCTTCTTCTCAAACGCGCGGTACTCATTCGTGTGGACAGTCCCAAACACATTCAAGCTCCCTGCGGCTGTCACCTTCTCTTGGACCTCCAAATAGGTGTTGTCCTTGTTTCGTATAATGAATGAATTCCCTTCTTCATAGAGGTTGATTTCTTTTTTGCAGTCTTCCGATTGGCAGAGGAAGGTCAGCTTGTTCGTTTTTATTCCATAGTCAGCCTTCACATGGCTGCTAATCAGCAGTAGCATTGGGAGAAGAATCGCGCCGAAGCCATCCCCCTTCATCGTGGAAGCCCTCGGGGGATGTCAGTAGGGGAGCCTATATCCACGCACGTTCCTAGGTAGGTACGTATGTGCGTGTGTTTATCCTTACAGGTGGAGAATAATTTTAAGTGAACAAAATTTTCCCGTGAGAATTGTGCGCCTTGTCTTTTTCGACCGGCTGAGAGGGGAGAGGGGGGCTGAAGGGAGTGGTGCCCCTCGACAAAAAGGGTCGTCCCCTGTTTTGCCTATTTGGTGAGTCACTTCCTGCGTATCGCTTTGCGTTTTCCCATTGAGAGAGTCTCCGGGAGGAAAAAAAAAAACCACAAAGTGAAAAAGAAGTGAAAATGAGGTGATAAGGAAGTGATCGCAAAAGGGCCAATAAATACTCGCATGGGCACACGAAAAAATGTACACTTGTGCGAGCACAACAGCGACGTGTGCCTCACCCAAGCCCCTCCAGCCTTTGCATAACTCCTTTTCATTGCTCCCTTTCTGCTCACCGTTTGGCAATCCCCACGTGTATCTACACCCGTTGGGCGCTTGAAAATAGGAGAGGCAAAGCGGCACGGCAAGCGGCAACAAAAAAACACAACGTCGAAGGTCGCAGCAGCCGCACGGAGACTAGTCGCATGTAGACGATCCCCACGGGGGAGTGCACCCCTCTAGGACAAAACAATAATGTGAAACGAAGCACACAGACGACATAATGACTGAGTATATAAAATGCGAGTGTACCAAATATGTTGTGCCGGAGGAAGACTATGAGCCGCCAATAAACGTCTCGGCCAACGCGCACAACACGCTAGTGGCTGTCGTGAAAAATAGAAGATATGTGCACGTGTCCAAAATAGAAAGTGGAAAGTTTTCCCCATGTAAGACGATATTCCTTGGGGTAAGTTTTCCCACAGACGCGGAGATGTGCAGACGTGCCAGGTGATGGATATGCTGCTTGATCTTCCCCACTGGGGTGCTCAGAGGCGGTCACATTTGTCCACCCATTTGTCCACCCATTTGTCTGCCCATTTGTCGACCCATCTGTCTGCCCATTTTTCCACCCATTTGTCTGCCCATTTTCACATGAATCCCCGCGCAACCCCACCAACACAGAATAGGCACAAAATTGTTGCCCTCGAATGGTCGAGCCAAAACGACCTGCTCGTATTGACCATAGACATGAAATGCGTCATATATAAAAATGGAAAAGACGAACGATGGGAAACCACCAATGTTAGCATCACATCAGAGGAACTCCTACCTACCTGTGCCTGTTGGCATCCACATTCCCACTCCTTCGCCATTGGATTTTCGTCCGGCGTTATATTTATTTGTTCAAGGGGGGAAGATACAAAGTGGAAGATCGAAAAGGTGGTAAATCACTCTGGGAGTGTTTTGTTCCTACAGTGGAGCTATTCAGGTATGGCCGACTAGAAGTGGAAGGCCAACTTGTGCAGAAGTGTCTCCTCTATTTTTTCTATTGTTTCACCGTTTACAATGTTAATTTTGTTTTTGTTTTTCTTTCTCCGAAGGGCATATACTGTGTAGCTGCTCCATGGATTCATCCGCTCAGCTTGTGTGCACGTCGGGCACTTTGGACGAAGACACAACAGATGAGGGAAGAACTAGGTTAACCTGCTTGTATACCACGACGTGGTTACCTTTTTTTTTTTTGCATCATTTTTTGTAGACCTATTTGCGTGTTTGCAGGTGTGGCCCACGTAGAGGAAGCCTTACAAATGTCCCCACGAATGGTCCTTTTCCCTGCGCAGGATCCACTCCAATATTGACGAACCGATCGAGGCCAGCAACTTAAACAGAAACGACGTGATCGGCAAGGTAATGGCCCATTTTGTGACCCCCATTTTATGACCCCCATTTTATGACCCCCATTTCGTCACCCCCATTTCCTATTTATGCCGCATGTTGGACAGATCGAATGCGAAGGGCACGTCATTTTGCACTGTTCCTTTTCTCCATCGAACAAAAGGGTGGCCGTAATAGGTATAGACAGTTTCGCTCCACAGCAGGGTGCGTGCAGTGCGGAGATAAGGGCACACCACATTCTGCTGCTTCGTCGGATTATCATTATTATTGCATTATTATTGCTATTATTGTTGTTATTTTATTTTTTTATTTTCTTTCAGCTAGCAGCTTCGAAAACAATCGAGAAAACCAGCAAATAATAATTTGCGACTACTTAAAGTCCAAGCCCAACACGCAGTTCGTTTCTTGGGTTGGCCAGACGATGCAGAAGTGTCTGTTTCTGGATGAGGACAAGCTGCTGGTTGTACGTTACGCAGTGTTGTATGTGTGTATCGCGGGAGTGTGCAGTTAGACACATGTGGGAGCATCCTCCCCATTTTAGCACCCATTCCATGGCAAAGCCAAAACGAAGAGATCTCCTAACCCATCTATTTTCCATTTCTTCCACTTCGCAGTACGGCTACGACATATTTCCCATCCTTGTAGAATGCCTGAGTGGGGAATGGACCCTATCGAAGGTGGTGCTGCCGCAGTTCTCAATTAAAAATTTAAGCATTGATTTTTTCTATGACAAAAAAGGCATTCAAGATATAGAGGACCAGTGCCAGCACATGAGCGGGAACGAAATAATTGGAGAAATAGTTGCGCACTCGAATAACATCTTGCAGATGTGCCTGTTGGAGCCGCGGGAGGGTCAAAAATACGCCCAGTTTGTGACCGTGTCGAGCGATTTTAATGTTGTTTTTTGGCGTTTTCCTTTCGACAACGTCGAGCGGTTTTAACAGCCCTTTTTGGCTAGCTAGCCAAAAAAAAAAAAAAAAATACTGCACCGTTCATAAAATCTACCTGTCTGTTCTGCACACATACAAATGCAAGAAAAGAAAAAAAAGTCCCCACTTTGGCGAAGTAACAACTTTTACGATTTTCCCAACGCAAAGTGAACGAAGCGAAGAAGAGCAGGAAAGACCATAAAGAATACAAAAACATTGGAACATTTTTCTGCGCCTTCTTAATCCTGTGTGCAGATATCTCCGACATACAGATTGAGTGGCAGCGTGGTGAGAGCTAGGGGCAGGTCATTTTTCTGTTTCTTTTTTTTATCATTTTGAGGGATCCCAAATGGGGTGACAACAAACTATTTGCACCCATGAAAAGGCAGAAAAGATGTATCCAGCGAAATGTAGCGCAAGAAGGACGATAAAAATAATCGAAAGAGATTTCCATCCCGCGAGTGTGTAGCCTCACCGAGAGAGACTTAACCAAAAGATTAGCAAAAGAAACACAGCCAGTGATGCAGTTGGTGGAGAAAACGCAACTGACACTTGTCCAATTATGCGCATAGTGCGTAAAGTTCTACTTATATTACTTAAAAAATTGTTTAAAATGTTCCTTGCATCATTGTGCCCCTTAAACTTGATAATAAAAAAAAAGGAAAACAAAAATGCCAACAAAATGAACACGCGTATGAATTATCCATCCATCGCACTTTTGCAGACAGGAATTTAGTGACACGTTGCATTGTGCTGATTTTTTTTTTTTTCCCTTTAGTTATCACTTCACTGTGATGATAAATGTGTGCAATTAGAAATGATACACTACGTTGTGTTTTTTTGTGTTCATTTATTTTTATTTTTTTTGCTTACATTTCACCTTTGAGTATTAATTTGTTTGACCTTTTCTCCAAATTGAAATTACGCGGGTATGTTGCACAGTCGCGCGAGAGTTGTCTTGTTCGCTCGAAAAGTTTGTTCTATAAAGTGGTGCATGAAAAGGAGGGAAAAGGAAACACGTAAACAGTGCCAAAAAAGACGCGCATAAAGTGCCAAAAAAAAGAACGCGTATAAAGTGCCCCCCAAAACACACTACCAGCACGTGTATACATTTCTGCACGTACAACCCCCACGTGCGGTGCGAAAGATAAGATGGAAATATTAAAAGGCAGTGTAACCAAAATTGTGCATACACAGAGAAGAAATCCACTCAGCTATGATGACGACCATGACGATGTAAAGCCTTTTAGCTCTCTCTTCAGGAAGAACGGTGTCTCCTTCTACGAGGACCTCCACACAGAGGCGGTGCTTTTATTGGTACTGAAAAAGGGCGCAACTCGAAAAGATAACCCAAAAGAAAAGACGTACAACCTTAGAATACATTCGTACTCTCACCTGAGAATATGCCCATGTCACAGATGCTTCTTTGCATACATGCGTAATCTCACCTCAGCATGTGCCCTCGCCACAGTTGCCCCTTTCAAGCACAGTTATATGTATAATTCCGTTCACTTTTTATCCTATGATCAGGACAAGGGAAGCGAGCCAACAAACTATAAGCTGTAAGTACGCAAAGACGAATGTGTATTATTCGTTGCCCCAGCTCCCGCGAAGTGGACATCGCAGTTGCCTATTTTAGCTCACCCCCGTGCATGTGAACACGTGCAAGTAGATCCGCTTGTGTGACTACTTCAATGGAAAACTTCTCACCATCGTCCCAATATCTGCTGACGTGACAAATTTCAGGATTAATAGAGAGTGCGTCATATTCTCCCAAGGGAAACAAATAAGACACACAAGAAAAAAACAGGTCCTACTCCTTATACGAAAAAGGGTTTCCTCGATTAGTGCGCGTCAGAATATTCTGAGTGTTGCACCTGAGGGAAGTCCTATCGTTGTGCGTGGAGATTCAAGTTAACGATTCGGATGGATGCTTCGCTTAGCTTGCCCCTGGTTGTGTCTACAAGAGGCCTCATTTGTTACACATTTGTAATTTATTATTACGTTTATAATTTATTATGACGTTTATAATTTATTATTACATTTTATTTTCTTTTTTATTTTATTTTTCTTTTCTTTTTTTTCTTTTTTTGTCTCTCTTCCAAATCGCAGGAGTTTGAAAAAATCAATGAGATTATAAACAGCGTCGACTACTTGGACACCTTGAAGGAAAAGGTGCACGACAGAAATGTGGAGAAGATTGTTGAGTCCATGGGGATATGCACCCCAAGGGAGGAGATACCAAAAAGCAGGTATAAACATCCGTCAAAG